CGTGCTGGTTTCTCTGGTCAGAAGTGTGAGATAAACATCAATGAATGTGCCCGGAGTCCATGTTCCAGTGGGGGCACTTGTCATGACCTGATCAATGATTACACTTGCACCTGCTTGCCAGGCTACACTGGCAGGAACTGTGACATCAAAACCACAGATGAATGTGCCTCTGGGCCATGCCAGAATGGAGCCACATGCTATGGTGGACTTTATAGTGCCAATTTTATCTGTAACTGTCCTTCTGGCTTCATGGGCAGCCGTTGTGAATTCCCAGTTTATACATTACCTGTTCCAGTTCCTCCCAGACCAGTTCCTTGGATTGCTATCTCCATGGGCGTGGGGCTAGTGGCTTTGCTTGTACTGTTCTGCATGATAGCTATGGTCATCAGACAGATGCGGAGGCACCCAGAGCAGGATCGAGAGACTATGAACAACCTGTCTGACTTTCAGAAGGATAATCTTATTCCAGCTTCCCAACTAAAAAACACCAATAAAAATAAAGACCTGGAGGTGGACTGTGGGCTGGAGAAATCAAACTACAAACCTAAGAACCATACACTGGAATATAACCTGGTAAAGGATCTGACAAGCAGAGCGGTGCAGGAGGATAAATATTATAAAAGTGAAAAGTGTTTGGGAGAGAAATCTCCCCTCCGATTACACAGGTAAGAATGCAGTTTCCCCTGCAGCCTTCTTTATGCGCTTTGGTCTCCACAGCTATCCAAGGAGGACTGTAGAAAGATGGCTCTTCCTTCAAGGAGCTAAAGTAGGAAACAAATTGGAGTAGGTGGGGAAATCTCCAAACTGGAGCATGAGTTTCACCATTTAGGAAGTGCTACCCCTAACTCTGCCTAAAGAACAGATTCTTGTGTTTCTTTTTTTTTGGTCCAGGATGCTGCCAGAGAGGGGAATAAGAGAAGACATTAGCAGATAGATTAGTTATGGAAGTAACTAGTAACTAGATGTGGAGAGGCCAGAACCGAAATATACATTTAAGTTTTAAAAAAATTATATATATTTCAGATTTTACATGGGGAAACACACAAACGTCTTCCCAAGGTTGACCTATTTGGAGAGATTGGGGGATTAAGGAAAAATAACAAGATTCAAGTTGAAAGAAAGAGGATGAGTTTCTACTGGCCTTCGAATCTTGCATTATCCATAATAAACCACATGAAGATTTTTAAATACTGCATTACAACAGTGACATATCAGGATTGTAAACTGTGAGACTGGGCATAGAGGAAGTGGAGCTGGACAGCACTTTCACTTTTCAAATGTAACCTAACATCCATTATATAGAACACTTGAAACCAGTTGTCACTTAAGTCGGGGTATTGCCACTAGTCTGTCCTCATTCATCCTGAGCCTACTCTCTTTTTTTACCCAAGGTTATTTGCAGAAGACCTTGACAATAGGCTCACACTTGAGCTCGTATCTTCCTCAGGATCCTTACATTTTTTTTCCCTCTCTCTCTCTGCTTCTCTTAGTGAAAAGCCAGAATGTAGGATATCAGCAATATGCTCTCCAAGGGATTCAATGTACCAGTCTGTTTTTGTGATAACAGAGGAGCGGAATGAGTGCGTCATAGCCACGGAGGTAAGTACACAGTTCCCTAAAACTCATCCTCCGCAGCCACTGAGTTAGTGAGGGGTCAAATTTTATTCTTCAGAGCTAAATCTTAAAGAGTGAAAGAATATTCTAGATATCTTGAGCACCCTTCATACACTCACCATACAGGGTGATCAGAAGATCCAATCAATTGTGGCCTATCTGTGGCAAAAGGGTTCTGGTAAACACTAAGACGAACAGCATATTATTCCTAATGCATAAGGAATTAATAACATGGTCTAGGTTTTTCCAAGGTGCTAACATCAAATGTGTGATGAATGGGAGCTGAAAAATGCTCAGCACCATTAAAAATGAGATTAGGAAAGTGTAATAACTGGATGCATAGGAGCAGTGCTGCAAACAAGCATTTTCTCTCAGGCGGTCCTAGGATATAGACAAAATTAGGAGAGGTGCCTCTCAACAGCAAGTGGGCATAAGATGATAATCCGTAGGCATTATCTGGTCACAGATAAAGCCATGGAGTTCCAGCAACAGATGTAGGATAGCTGAGTACACTAGCTTATAGGTTTAGTGTGCACACAGGAAACACACAATAAGTCTGGAAGGAAAGTTCAACTCCTTGTCACACCGGATCCTGTCTTTGTTCCTGGCTCCAATTTAAATTGACACTACTTGCTTTGGTATTGAGAAATGCCTCCTAGATCCTAACATTGTTGGAAAAGCCAGGGGGTAATACTGAGGCAGATTTTGTATTGGATTTGTTCAGTATCTGCTAAGTTTACAAACTTAAACAACTAATAAAGAACAGATATTTTCTAAGGGATACAGACCTGTTTAGAAAAAGGCCAAATGGGAAGTTTAGGGCAGTGTAACACCAACAGAATCCTTAAATATCACTTTGAGCTGGGGGAGGGGTTTGTGTTTTGCTTGGTTTTTTTGTTTTTTGGGGGGGGTTGGTGTTTGGAATGTATATTGTATGTGGGGTTCTTCCCTCTTCCCGCCCCTGTCCCTCCCCGCCCCCCCTCCTTCTGCCTACGTACCCAGTTTTGTTGTTGTAGTCTCAGAAGGCCTGAGGAAGGAATAATTTTTTTGTGTCACTTTTATCTATTATTCCTGAAGAAATTAATACACTAATTAAGGAATTAATAAAATGCCCCATACACAGGGCATGTCTAAATGAGACATTGACTGCACAGTAGCATGTCACAGCACAGACAGTACTAATACGCTACTGCGCAGTATTATTAGGCTACTGTGCAGTAACATCACCTAAAAAATGTTTGTTTGGCACTACTGTGTAGTAACTCCAGTTACTGCACACTTTATTTAGTACTTGCTAATACAAGTACTAAATACTTATAGCACAGTAGCATCTCCCATAGTGCAATGGAATTCCAATTATTTTCAGAGGTTGGTCATAAAATTCCTGCTCCAATGGGAAACTGGAAAAATAGTGGCAAAATTAAGTGCACAACTCAGAAGGGACTTTTCAAAAGTACAAAAGGCAGGCAGAAGGCTAATTCCCATCAGCGGCCATACCAGTTAAGTTGGGTTTTTTTTTAAATACCATCTGTCTTGGAAAATTTATCCCCCAAACCTGTCTGTCTAAAGTTAGCCTCCTAAATCTATAAATATGCATTCTGACCTACTCATAGATGCTGAGTGTTTATAGGTGCTATTGATGTTCATTTGGGTTTGGTGGTCCTTAGCACTCCTATTCAGGCTGCAAAATCTTCAGAAATGGCCTGATAAGGGTTTGAGTGGCTAACTTGAGGCATCCAGGTTTAATAACTTTAGCCTAAATGATCTCTTCCAACCTGGTCATTCTTAGCAGGAAGTGAAATGGGACAGAAGCATTTGCTAGCAATTCTATGACCTATAGGGCTAGCTTGCTCCTTCTGAATACTGATGGGTTTGCTACAGCTCTGGCTCGGATTTAGGCTGAGGACAGATGTAGTAAATTATATTGCTTTAAAGATGGAAGGGGAGCCCTGTCAAGGTTCAGATGAGTTTACTGTAACTGTCTTTTATCTTTCTGCCCCTGTCCCATAGTAAGTGAAGCTAAACCAGAATAATTTATCCCATGTTTTGTTCAGAGATAATTATTGCAGTTTTACCTTCACTTACTGTGGGATAGGAGCGAATGGATGGAATGCACACTCCCAAGCGGTAAGCATCCTCTTTCCCCCCCCCCCCCC